GCCGCTGACCGCCCTGCTCCCGCAGGCTGTTCACGGTGTACCCCAGCACCAAGACCTACTTCCGGCACCTGGGCGCCTGCCCGGACGAGGAGCTGCTGCTGGGCCACGGACGGCGCATGCTCGCGGCGGTGGGCGTGGCCGTGCAGCACCTGGACAACCTGCGAGCGGCTCTGAGCCCGCTCGCCGACCTGCACGCGCAAGTGCTGCGGGTGGACCCCGCCAACTTCCCCGTGAGCCGGCGGGCGGGGGCGCGCGGGCAGGGCGCGCGGCGCGGGGCTGGGCCGGCATCCACCCACCCGCGCCCTGCCCCTGCCTCCGCAGCTGCTGATCCAGTGCTTCCAGGTGGTGCTGGCGTCCCACCTGCAGGGCGAGTACACGGTGGAGATGCAGGCGGCGTGGGACAAGTTCCTGACCGGAGTGGCGGTGGTGCTGACCGAGAAGTACCGCTGAGCGCGGCCCGGCCCAGCCTCGCGATCAATAAACTGGCCCAACCCTCCGAGCTCCCCGCGTGGTCTTTGGGCAGCGGCGAACTGACCACACTGTTGGGGGTGTGGAGACGCGACATGTGCTGCGGGGCGCTCCAGAGACCTTGGGGCGCGACCCCGAAGCTCTGCCAGGGGCAGGCCCCTGGCGCAAAGGCCGGGACTGCGCGCTCCGTCGGCCGGGCGGGTGGCGGTTGGGGCTAGAGGCGGGGGAGGGCGGAGGGCGCCGGTCGCGCAGCCTCCGCAGCGGGCAGGGCCGGGCACAGCGGCGCGCGCCTGCGGTGGCCTTCAGCGTCTGGGCAGCCCCCACGGGCGGGGCGCAGTGCCCGAAGCAAAGGACACACGCCATTCATTCACGGACTCATTCCTTCATTCATCCCTCCGGGCTGGCGCTGCCTGGACCCTTCACCTCCCATGCAGACAGCCCTGTCCATCAAGGACCTGGCCGAGGACCACCACACAGGGCTGTCGGGCCCAGGGCTCGCCCTCCCCTCGTCAATCGGCAGCAGGCAGGGCCCTGGCAGCCCTTCCTCTGGGTCTCCTGAGGGGGTGGGGTAGGAAGCCCCGCTGCAAGGTCCCCAGCAGCCCCTACACAAACAGCTGTGGGATGCCGGGCACCTCCCTGGCCGAGTCCACCAGTGGAGAGGCCCTGGTCACTCGGCACCCCACTCCAGCCCGGCACAACGGCCAGGGTCCCCCAAAACCGACTGCTCGGCCTTTGGCAGGCAGCAGCAGAGCGGAGCGCTCCCGCTGGGGCGCGCCGCGGGGGGATACACTCGGAGAGGCTCTGCGCCACGCCCCTCCAAAGAGCGCCCGGCAGCCCAGCCCCCACCGCGACCAGAGGACGGCTTGGGGGG